AGGGCTGCAGCCCGTAGGGGAGGATCAGAGGCTGATTTGTATGTTCTCTTCTTTCTAGTCCTGAACTTTGAAAAGCAATTCATGGGGATAGATGTATAAAGATACACTAAATGCAAAAGCTCTGAGCAAGGATGGAGATGAGTCCGGCTCCAGTCCCTGCAAATCTCACTTATATTAGGTTTGGAGGGGGGTGGTTGAGGGGGAACAGGCATGGTTACGTTCACAAAGAACGTGCTCTTTAACCTCTGAAAATGTCCTGCAAATCGTGCGTCTGTCAGCATCGTTTATCTGAGGCACCTTCAGAGGACTTTGCTCTCAGACTGCAGGTTTACTTGTGGTTCCTAGAGTTTCTAAAAGTAGAATGGGAGGCATTCAGTTATTATCAGGCTCCTCTCTTGTGGAACCAACTTCCAGCTTCTGTCCATGAGGCTGACACATTGTCTACTTTCAAGTCTTAAGTCTTTCGTTTTTGATAAATCCTATAGTTAGGATCAGCTTGGGTTTCCTGAGCTATAACTTAGTTGTGCTGCTAGACTCCTGGAGGACAAATTGACCACATCTCCTCACTCTGCTGCTGTCTGTACTTCACTTGTTTGTGTTTGTAATTATTTCTATCCTTAAAATGTGATTTTTGTCTTTCCTCCAATAAAAAGTGCACCTGGACATGTCATTCTGTGTTTGTTTGTTTCTCCTTCCTGTTCTCTCAAACCCAGCCGCTCAAAGCAGATGGCCGCTCATCCTGAGCCTGGTTCTGCTGGAGGGTTCTTCCTTAAAGGGATTAAAAGGGAGTTTTTCCTTTCCACTGTTGCCAGTGTGCTTGCTCAGGATGGTAGACGGCGACAAAATGAAGATTCAACACAATTGGGGCGGCTGTGGCTGAGTGGTTAGAGTAGTCGTCGTCCAGTGCAAGAGTTGGGGGTTCAATTCCACCAGCTGTCACATGCCAAAGTGTCCCTGAGCAAGACACTGAAACCCTCATTGACTCCAATGTGTGTCCCATCCGTGTATAAATGTAATAAAGCACTGATTAGTCATAGTCGAGTGTTGTATGAATGAGTAAATGAGGGCACAGAAAAGCACTTTGAATATCTTGATAAGATAGAAAGGCGCTGTATAAGTACAGTCCATTTACTGCTTGCTTCCTTCGATAGAGAACATTTACTAATTGGCTTTTTATGTATGTAAATGTTTCTGTTCAATGCCCCTGAGACAACTTCTGGCACTATATAAATAAACTGAATCAAATTAAATTAAATTACTGTATTAGACTAGTCAAAAACAATTTCCTAAAGTCATGAGATAATATCTGTGCTGCTTTACACTGTTCTGTTCTATTTCATAGTTCATGTATTTATACCTGGTAAATTATAGCTAAATGTCAAACGTATACATAAAATATATATTATCAGGCAAAAAACTTACATTGTTTCCCCAAAGTTCATGCTCATTAATCCAGGAATAAATCCAGCAATGTTCAGTCAGGTCATCTGGACATTTCTTTAGTTGCTGAGACGTTTCATCCTTCATCCATAGGACTTCTTTACAGAGTGGAAAAAAAGTTTGCTGGTGATACGCTGGGAGAGAGCTGTTTGTGAGATTCAGTTTGATTTGGTGGGCTCCTCAGACTGAAGAAGTCATTTGGATTAAACATTTCAGCAACAAATGAAACCATCCAGATGACCTGACTGAACATTGTTGGATTTATACCTGGATTAATGAACATGAACTTTGGTGTTTTGAACCACTTCGGCATGGTCTGCCGTGGGGGAGTTGACGGGGCAGAGGGTGGGCCCAGAGGCCATTTTATCACCAGCAAACTTTTTTTTGCCACTCAGGGTGTGAGAGGTTTGTGGGATTCAGTTTAGTTTGGTGGGCTCCTCAGACTGAAGAAGTCCTTTGGATGAAAGATGAAACGTCTCAGCAACAAAAGAAACTGTCCAGATGACTTTACATTTTTTCAGTTTTGTAGAATTTTTTGTAGAACAAAAACTGATCGTCTCTATAGTAAAAAAAACTATACAGCCAGTATTTTCTGAAGGAACACATATTACCTGCTGCCTTTCATGACAGATATTTAAACTAAAACCGTGTTATGATAAGAAATGATGGCGTTGTTGCCATTTTGCCACCTTGAAAATAACATAATGCACAATCTCATGCAATATTGCCAGTTGTCACACCGCTCAGCTCCCACCACATTCCCTTTTAGTGCAGTTTCCTTAAAACTGGCTGAGTTATAGTCATTTTTGTGTTTTCTAAGTTCAGATGCCCTTCGGTGGCCGTTTTAAATTTGCTTAGCTCTAAAAATTAATCAGAAATATTCTCTTGGCGTTTACTGAATGTTTCGTGACAAAATGTTCAGAGATTTATGAAATATTTTGTTAACAGACAGAGTTGGTTGTAAATAATTACCATCAAAATTCTGATCAAAGATTTTGCACGATAGGTTAGAGCTCAGAATGTGTGGGGGGGATCATTCTCAGCTGCTACCACATCATGTTTTAAATTTGCAAAGTTGGCCGAGATATTTTTAACGTCACTTGGCTGTGGCAGCCACGTTGAACCAGGTTGACTTCAAAAGTTAAGAAACTGTAGATTTAAACTGAATGAGTATGTTCTGCAGTTTTGTTTTGTTTTTTCATTTGTCCAATAATGTTCATGAAGTATTTTTGTAACAAAAGTGATACAATTGGATGGTTATGATCACCTTTTGCCTTTCTGCGGTAGCTAAAAGAACTTTCTAGACCAGGGCTATTCAACTGGTGGCCCTCGGGCCGGTGACTTCAATCTGGCCCACTTCACATTTAAATTTTTTTTTTTTTTTGGTATTGGGTATGGGTGTTTTATTGCATTTATGATTCAATGCAATAAAATAAACAAATTTAAAAGGTAACAGATCATTATAATCTTTTCTTTATTTACATAACGATTTTAATCGCTGGATGTTCGTTCCACGAGCTGCTGGCTTTCAGGAACTGTGGCCCCCTGAGCAGTTTTGTTGAATAGCCCTGTTCTAGACATTATTGTAAACACAGGACCATAAATCAAAGTGTGTAGTGCTTTGTTTTAGTGAACATTGGGTCTTGTTATAATGTGCAAAAGCTCCATCATTTCTACAGTAAACAGACGCCTGCTACGTCCATCTCTGTCCTTTCCACATAGATTCAGGTTATCACAGTGAGACGTGACGCTGCAGAAGAAATGCTGATAAGATTCTTCTTTTGCATCCTCAGATAAAGTCACGCCAAGACCGGAGTGAAGTCCAGGCTTCTGTTCTGGCTGCAGAATGTTGACAAGCACTAAAACTGGGCTTTACGAGAAAAAGAAATCAGGGAAACCGGACAGATTAAAGAAACAATGATAGGGTAGAATTCATGAATCTTGTGTTTTTGCTACATTTTTCTCATTTTTTTTATACATACTGGACCGTTCCTTTTATTCTGCGATGAAACTGTTCGTCCTGTACCTGCCCTGCTGTCTTAAAGAGTAAATTTTTAAGAGCCTCTCATTGGCTAACAGCCACTCAGACACCTGAGTCCCAGAGGAACATAGACGTCTGCTGAGTGGAACTGGAGAGCCGCATTGCATTACAGCTTTGCAGGAGCGATAACACACTAGAATAAAGAGCTGCAAACAAAAAGAGAGGCTTTAGTGATAAAACAACATCCAGGCTTGGAGCAGCAAAAGTAACTGAATATGATTTTTATCTGCAGAGATAACGTGTGTGTTATCACATCTTTATGAGCATAGTTCAAGTTGTAATGTTCATCCTCTTCACTCTCAGCTGTGTGCATGTAGTTTACAGTTTTTTTTGTTTGTTTTTTGTTTTTTTAAGTAGAAGACTCTTTTTTTTTTAAATCATTTACACTGAAAAAGACAAATAGAATGAATCAATGGAGCAATCAGTGCAATCAGAAGGAGTCGGGACAGATCAGGTCCTATCTTCTTCCTGGCCCCGCAGCATCCACAAAGATAAACCTTGTCACCACCTCTCGCCTACTCTCATAAGTTGGATTTGTTTGTATGTTAGCGCACACACACACACACACACACACACACACACACACACACACACACACTCACACACTAACACGCAGAGCAGTACTTGCTCCCATATGTGAGAGGGGAAGTTGAAAAAAGGAGGAGGGATCAAGTAACTTAAGCAGCTCCACACAGCCACACACAGTTGTTTTCTGTGATCTCTCTGCAGGTGAGGAATTCTCAAATCAAGAAAAGGGACACATGCAGCCCTCAACCCTGAGACCTCCAGACGCTGTCGCTGCATGAAGGTGGAATTATATAAAAGAAGAGAGGGAGAGGAAAGACAAAACGAGAGGAGCAGGACATCTGAAAGGGACAGATGGATTGCCTGATTTGCGCCTGGATTGACCAACGTTCCTGTTTAAATCCTTTTTCCTCCTCAGGGGGAAATTTACAAATGCTTTTGTGCACATTTGGAGTCTAACAGCTTTTAAATTGATGCTGAGTGGCATCATCTTTATCTCACAGGAACTAAAGATTTACGTCAGTTTTTTTTTTGTGTGTGTGTGTCAGACTTTCAACTTGGATTTCAATTCTTTTTCCTGTTTGACATTCTTTTTTTTTTTTTGGAGATATTTTTGCCTTTTTTAATCTTTAATATTCAGCTTGGCAATACAATAATCCCTTTTTGGAGCCAGGGACAATAATTAAAATATTACAGCCTATCTTGAAAGAACAAAAACCCTACAAGAAATAAAAGATATTTCTTACTAAAATACACTTATAAACGTGTCTTCCAGTGAAGACTTGACTTGTTGGGCATTACACAATCAAACTAACTCAAAAGGATATACTGGTATTTCATGCAAGTGCTGAACAATTTGGACTCTGCAGGGGGACCATCTCACCCAGTCTGGACTGTGGAGGGCTCCCCTCCCTGCCCTTATAGTCTCTCCTCACCCCCAGCAGCATGTCCCAGGCTCTGAGGCTGCCTCTAGTCCTCCTCACAGCAAACTACCATGATCAGATGGACTGCTGGAAGGAGTAAGGCTGCCTTTGCCTCGTTTTGCTCCTGGTCTGGCTCAGGAGCTCGTTCTGGCTCTGGGGCCAGCTTCAGGTCACCAACACTGCTTTCCTCCCCGTCTTTCCCCTTCCTGCTCACGCTTGTGGTTTTCTCCCTGTCCCTACCTGAGGCCACCTGCCATCAGCCCCGCAGAGACAGACTGAGGCCTGCTAACCTGCAAACACTTGAGGCTCCACTGAACCTTTCAAGGTCTGAGCTGATCTCCAGACCAAGGGCCACCAGGGGCCCCCAATATCGGGCCGGAGGACCACAGGGCAGGCATGTGCGCAGCTACAACCATCTACAGGGAGACATACGGAGAAGAAAGCTTTTCTCTTTCCAAAAGTTTTTCCTGAGGATTGATAAAAATGGACAAGTCAATGGAACCAAGAGCAAGGATGACCCCCTCAGTAAGTAACTCTTCTTAAATGTGTGAAAACAGATTAATCCGGTTCTTAAAAATGGTTCATTAAGACTACCTGGAGTTAAATCTTGCAGTCAGTTGGAATTTATTGCATGGACAAAAGACACTCGTCTAAAACTAAACTTCTGCTCCGTTTTTGTGGTGAAGAAATTACAAAAATAAAACAAAAATAGGCTTTGTTGATCGCTGTAATCAGCCATCTTTCCAAAAATTAGGTTTTTTTTGTTTTCATTTTGGATCAAACATGCTTAAATGTGCATTTTTGACCAAATATGCATCAAATCCTCATCCAAAAATGTAACTACAATTAAAAAAGTCCCTTCCTGATCATTTTGTTGGAAGCTTGGAAGAAGAATTCCCAGTTTGGGTTGTCCTTTGTTTTAAACCAGACATCTGACCGATATCTCTCCTGTCCAAACACTCAGCTCAATGATGGTAGCTCTCAGATGGTTTAAAAAGGAGCAGGAGCAGATAACTCAGCCATTATCAGGCAGTCTTCACAGCCCAGAGTAAACAGACCTGATAACAGCCACAGAAAAAACAGGGCCGGAGCAGGAGGGGGGTGTATATGACTGTCAGTCTTGATGCTTTTAGGCCAGTTCTGCTTCTCTTTTTGTTTCTCCATCACTCCCTCACTCAGATTATCCCTCTGCCAGCCTGCTTTGGAGCAAATTGCACACCTTCAGCCCCAGCTCAGACATTTGTTTGACATTTTCACTCAGAGAAATGTGTCTTTAAGTGATTACATGATGTTTGTTTCACTGTATCAGTCAGCGAAAAAGCATTCCCATTTGTTAGCCACCAAGCTACGTGTGCGTGCCCACCAGCCGCCATGCAGGCTCGCACATGCTCCAGTGGGTGTGTGATCGTATAGTAGCCGACACGTGCTCACTCATCCTGAACACACATGCACACAATTTATACATCTCCTTCATTGTTGCGTGCTTCGTCTTTCCTTCGTTTTCACGGTTTCTCCAACTCATATAGCGTGGCTTTAATGCTCCTCGTGGGAGAGCACAAACCGCGCAGTCAATCAAAGTGACTTGAGGGAAATGGCACTGGGAAGCAGAATGTCAGGGGAGATGTTTGTTTGGACAAGGTCATGACAGAAGAAGCTTTAATTTCCTGACCATGTTACAAAGTGATGCCTTTACTGCCAGCTTTGTTAGCAGTTTCTTTCAAGTCGTAAAAACCGAAGTGAAGCGAGGAAGTCTGGCTCAGTTTTATTGAAACGGTTGGTGTGAATTCAACCTAAAGTTTATGTTTGTTTGGAGGGTGATTTACTCCTCCATCTTTGTTTCAAATGACCCAGTATGGTTTTTTTTTTAAGTCAGTAGCATTTGCTGTGGATTGAACAGCAGGAAGAGGAGGAGAAAAGGAGATTCTCTAGAGGTACAAGTTCATGAATGAGCTGACTGAACATCATTGTGGCCACATCAAAGCTAGCATCTTCAGTATCAATGGTGGTGCCATGAAAAAGCTGTGTCCTGGGGGGGTCTGGGGACACTGTGTTTGGATTCTGAGCCCTCGTATCAGGTTCACATGGTAAAGAATACTACACAACAGCAGCTTCAGTCTTTACTCTGGCCCCCGGGGCTAGACATGATCCCAGATCTGGCATCCTTTGTGGACCCCTCATGGTCTCTTGAAGTGACAAAATATCAAGTTTTTTTTCTATGGACTGTCTATATTTTCTGAATTGCATAGTCAAATAAAAACTTTAAGTTAAAGCTCATCCTGAATGACATTGTGTGTTTCTTAAACTATGCTTAAGAGCTGAATTAGATGCACAAAATCCAGTTTTGAGCGCTATTATTTGGCCTCGCAGAGACCCAGCTCACTGTCTGTTACAGAGCCAGTATCCAGCCTCCCACAGATTTATGGGGATGCCTGCGTAAAACTGTCCCACATGGCTTTCCAACCCGCCAGGGGCCTGTGCTGAGGTTACAGAAAGGCAGCGAGAAAAGGAGGGAGATTATTCCAAAGTCAGCTAAGTAGCTATCTGTGTGGTTTAAGTGCGTAATTAAAATATCTATGAATCACAGCTGAGCACTTTTAAATGTAGAAGCAACTAGCAACTTTGTGTAACGAGTGAAAGGATGCCAAATCAAACTCAGTCAGATATGGTGGTGTGCTGTCAGGATTGTGTGTACTCATTAAACGCTGGACGTTTGTTTCAGGCGTATTCTGAACGGGCTCAAGAGGTGTTTTATTTTGGCTATTGGAATGTGAATTTTCAGCATCCCCGTGTAATTGATCTTATTTAGTCAAAGCCCTGCGCCTGCAAAACAAACATGCTGCTCTTGTAGAGGCCTGAGGAGGCAAATGTGTAGCTTTTCTCCTGTCTGTAAAAACAGTGCGGTCTTTACCGACTGTCCGTACACTAGATCCTGATTTAGAACCCACTCTGCTCTATTTTAGGACATGGAGATGGTAGCGATCAAACCTCCTCATATTTTAACTTATCTGTGCAGACCAGTGCCAAAGTAGGAGTGAGGAAAAATAACCCTACAAGCAGCAAAGTGCACGTTTCTTACCCCTTTTGGCATCCCACAGTGGAAAAACCACCTTTAAATTCTCACTAACTCCAAACAGAGCATATCAAATAAGCCGCACGTTATAGGAAAAAGCAACAGGACTTCAAAGATGGAAAAAATACTGTCTCTCTTTGTAAACAGCTGAACACGCAGCTGGTTCACTTAAGGCAACATTTTACGTGTGCTGTACGCACAATGGAGCCCATTTAAACAACAATTTGTCTAAATTTGTAATGGTTCTAAAAAATTTTTTTTTAGTTTTGCCTTTATCTACTCATTTTTGCAATCATAAGCTAATTTATTTGCCAATTGAACGACCCCAATTATAAAAAACTGTGGCGTTGTATGAACTGTACTGTATTTTGCAGACCATAAGGCACACTTAAAATCCTTTAATTTTCTCAAAAATTGACAGTGAGCCTTATAATCAGGTGCATCTTATGTATTAATTCTGGTTGTGCTTACTGACCTGGAATTGATTTTATGTGGTTATTGTGAATGAGATGAATAAAGTTTGACTTATCTGACTGTTTTGTTTCTCTTAATGCGCCTTATAATCCGGTGCACCTGATGTATGAAAACAGGACGGTTCATTGATATAGTCCCTTATAATCCAATGCGCCTTATAGTCAGAAAAATACGGTAAATAAAAACAATGCAATGATTAGCAACTCTCATAAACGTGCTTTTTCACGACATAAAGTAAATATATCAAATGTAAAGAATAAGAAAATGTACAAATTTATGAAAAAAATAAGGAAATTGTAAATTCGATGCCAGCTACACATCTCAAAATGTAGAGACAAAGGCTGTAAAAGTAAGTGGTACACATAAGAAACGATTAGAGAAGCATTTTGAAATGAATTAGCTTTATTGACAACCAGCCAAAAATAGAAGTGAGGATGAAAAGAACATTTTAGAGAGGCTGAATCCCTCTGAAGTAAAGATGGGCAGGGGTTCATCAGGTTTTTTTTTTTTAAACTGCATAAAAATAATAGAACAGTTTTAGAATAATGTTCCTGAAAAGAAAATTGTGAAAACTTTGAAAATCCCATCATCAGAAGATATGAAAAAGTACTGGAGAAATCTCAGTTTGCAAAGAGCAAGGCCAAAAATCAATTTTAGACGCCCGTGATCTTTGGGCCTCAGGCAGCCCTGCAATATTAAAATGATTGATTATGTCACTACATGGACCCAGGAACACTTCCACAAATCAGTGTCTGTAAACACAGTTCACAATGGCTTCCATAAATGCTGGTTAATGTTTTATTGAGAAGAAGCCATAGGTGAGCCCCATCCAGAACCACTGCTGTCTTCTCTGGGCCAACGCTCATTGAAAATATGGAGGCAAAGTGGAAAAGCATTCTGTGGTCAGAAAAATCTAAAAAAAAAAAAATTGGGGGGGGGGGGGGGGGGGGGGAGACCAAGGATGTCACGCTCTTTTTTATTAGAGGAGTGGGACCATCTGGCCTGTTATCTGTGCTCAGTTTAAAAACCTGTCTTTCTGATGGTATAGGGGTGCATTAGTGTCATGGTATGGGCAGCTTTCATACAGGACTCAGAACAGTATATACAGGTTTTAGAACACGTGCTTCCAGAAGAGTGGGGACTGTTGAACAGCCAGACATATATATCAGACAAGAATGAAACAACAACTCCAACAATCTCTGGCAACTGATCCTCAGTTGGTTTACAGACTGGTGTTAACAGAGGGCGTGCTTCACAGCGACGGACATCTCCATGTCCTAACATTTTGAGTGAGGATATTGCCATAAATTTCTAAATGACATTTTTAACCTTTCTTTTTTTTTGTTTGTTTAAACAAATGATATATTTACTTTGTTCCATTGGGACTAAAATATGGTTTATGAAGTTTGAAAATCATTGCATTCTTTAGTCGTTTACATTTTGCATAATATCTTAACTTTTTCAGATGTGGGTTTGCAAACCAAGCTAAGCTTTCAAACACTGAGGAACAAATGGAGACATTTTTTATTCTCTCAGCGAGTTTGCACGCTGGGCATAAATGCATATTCACCTGCTGCATTATTATATGTGTGTGTGTATGTGTGCATGCGTGTGTGCATGTGTGTATATACAACCTGTCTCGCCCCTGCCTCCGGTGGCTGACTTTGATCAGTGATCATTACAGCCTTTCTAATCCTCACTCCACCCCCAGTCTCACTGTCATGGCTCCTCTGTCCTCCTCTGTTCCCCTTCCTTTCATCCCTCCCATGTTTACAGAGTAGCCAGGGACTGCCATAGATTGTCTTACATTCTCACTCCATACCTGACATCCGATCCCTTACAGAAACCAGCTCCTCTCAGATCTTCAATGGCCGTTGTGTCACCGTCCCCACCACCACCTTGCAGCTCCAAACCTCCACTGCCCTGAGGTGCTCCCTTTTGAACTAGAAATCAATACAGTCAAGACCTCACGGACAAGGAAAGAAAGCTGCTATATATTTAGGTTTATTTTTTGGCGGGAGTGGGGGTGTGTGGGGGGGTCACACCTGCATTATCCACTGTCCACTCGCCAGGGTCTGCTCCTCCGGAGTGGGACTGACAGTAGAGCCGAGTGCCACACAAACAGTCATCAGACTCAGACGTGGCTACAGATCTGATCAAAGGATGTCGTTGACTCTTTGGAGTTCACGCCCCCACGTTGGTGTGTGTGTGTGTGTGTGAGTGTGGGCCTCCACATGCGTGCTTATCGAGATAAAATAACGACAGCTCACAGGAAGAGGGGAGAGGAAGTCAGGGAGGGCAGCATGAAATCAAACATGCCATGGGAACCAGCAGGATTCACTTACAAACAGGCAGCAGCAAAACACGAGACAAGTGGCTTCTGTGGTCAAAGGACACATTAGGAAGTTATATTTCTCTGACCTCTGATACTGAGACCACACAAATAATCGCAGCCGTCTGCAAGGAAAAACACACGCTTGTTAGCCGGGGTATAAATTTACCTTCTACTAACCCAGGAGAAGCCTGAATCATTTGTATGGTGACTTGGAAACAGAACCTGAGCAACCCGGGACTCTCCGTGGAATCAACCTATTAATTTTCCAACAAAATGAGCAGTGCAGCTGGGATTTGTTACGCAGGTGTAGGCTGTAAAATAACTTTAAAATATCACAGAAAATGATGAATGTGCTCAGAATAATTGCAACCTTACGAAGAGCTACTGCTTAACGGTCCTAAAATGTGAATGCAATGTGCTGCTGGGTATTTTATTCTCCCAGATGCCTTTAAGAAAAATTCAGATATTTTTGTGTTAGTGTTAACTCTTCTTCCACGAAGAGTCTGGAATACATTCATTTTTGAAGCGTGTTAAAGAATCATATGTTCGTTTAGATAATTAACACCTCTGGCCTTTTGTTGTGAATCAGGTATTCTGGAAATCACATCAGTGGAAGTGGGAGTGGTGGCCATTAAAGGGCTGAACAGCAACTACTATCTGGCGATCAGCAGGAAAGGAGAGCTGTACGGAGCGGTGAGTACCACACTCAGGGGTCCACACAGATAGTGTTAGATTCTTCAGCCTTTATCTCAGACAAACTTATCGTGACTTTGGATTCTACTTCCACAACCAGGCACGTGCACACGTGTGAACCTCTAGGAAATGTGGAAGATTTTCTGTCAGAAATTGTTCCAAGATATGCATTAAATTCTACATAAGAGCACCAAACAATATAGATTATGGAGTCATTTATTAGTTTGTATTTTAACAGGAAATAAAATCAAGTTACATGTTAAATAATGTAATTGTTGCTTTGTAGACAGGACTTTTCTACCTAATGGCTAAGTTGCAAATTAGTTATTAAACAAAGCTATTGCCTTTCAAATTAAAGTCCTCGCTATTAAGACCTTCTCACTGAAGGGTCGAGGTTCTTTATTGTCATTCTCATCACACATGGTACATGAGGTGGAACAAAACTGTGTACTCAAAGTCCCAGTTACATCCAAACGTAGCAAAAATATGAAGTATAACAAGAAACTGTATACAAGGATCTATGAAATCTTGGGAAAAAAATCTATGAAATCGTGATCTTGGGGAGTGGTGGCGCAGAGGTTAGAGAGGTGGGCTTGTGATCCGAAGATCGCCGGTTCACGCCCCGGCCCCGACAACATCAAAATTGTGGGTGGGGTAGGTGAAACACCCACACTTGCCCCCACCCTCATTTGCCCCACTCTGGGCCCATGAGCAAGGCCCTTAACCCCCACCATGTGCTCCCTAAACAGGTCTCTCTTGAAAATGAGTTCTCGTGGCTCAATGAGACTAACCTGGATAAATAAAGGCTAAATGA